GAACGAGGAGGAGGAGTTGGGATCTCAGCGTCATGAACGTGAGAGAAGTAAAAACATTGTGGAGCCGCAGAGAGAGGCTGAGCTGATTAATGCTCAGAATGAAACAATAAAACCAACTCAGATTTCTGAGTACGTTTTTTTCACAGAGGGGTTGTCTGGAGCAGCTCTGAGCAGTCAGTAGCTAACCTGCTTTAGACCGCAGTCAGTGATACTCAGACAATGAGAACTGGACCAGTTTTTAAAATAAATAAAACTTTAAAACATTTCAAATCACTCTGGTCTGATATTTTGAACTTAGAACGAAACAAAAACTTCTGATTGTTTCCTAATGGGAGGCTGTGAGGAATCATTTCCATCAACCAATCAGAGGTTCACCAGATGACTCTGCAGACGACTGAAGCTTATGAGCAAATCGAATGAGAAACAGTGACCCACAAACACACAAACACAACTCCAGCTGCTGACCGACTGACGGATGGATGGATTCCACTCCCACCTGTGAAATTATAACATTCCAGAGTTTTCCAGGCTTTTCCAGGAATCCTGCTGCTGCTTTAGAGTAAAAAGTTTCTGTTCTGAAGGAACTTTGTTAAATTAAAGTTCCGTCAAATCAAAGAGACGTCAGCAAACTAACGGTATATTCAGTTACACAGAGAGCTGGAGATTGATTCCCACTCTTTAAAAAGTCAACATCATTTCTTTAGGAAGCTTAAACCCAGAACCCAGACGGCTGGAAACCTGCATTCAGGTTCTGGAGAGGACAGTCTGGGAATCTGCTACCAGGAGGAGTTTCACCCGGATCACTGGGTTTTCCTGCAGGTAAAGATCCCTGTAAATCATCTGTTGTTCTCCAGTAATCCTAACATCAGACACAAACACTCTGTTGCATAATCAAAGCTCTTTGGCAGCCAAACACACATCTTCCCACTCGTTTATTGTCATCCACTCAGGCACCAACCACAGCTCACAAACAAACATCTTAAGTGCTGCTTCCATCCTTCCCAGTGTTCCCAGTGTTCCCACAACCCACCAGCCAGTTCTCTGAACTCTGCAGTGCAGCAGGAGATCTGCAGGAAGCTTGTTCTGTAGAGACTCACCGTAGCATATTTTAAGATGATGTCAGCCCGTTCCTCTGCTATTAGAGTCTCGATGTCTTTCTTCATGTCAATATCTGCAGAGGGAGGAGAGCAGAGCGAGTTAGAGACGGAGAGCAGCAACGAGTGGGCGACTGTTGGCGTCCAGACCAACGGGATGAGCTGGAACCTCTTAAGCACGCTTTGAATGTAATGACTTCACAGAAGATCAACGCAGTAATGTACATTCATGCTAGCGTAGCAAAACGATACAGTCATGGTAAAAGGAAAGAGCCTGAAGGAGGAACGCCTCTGGGACGATGTGCTCTGGACAGATCAGACCAAATTAGGGATGTTTGGCCAACAAAGATCAATGTTTGGAGCCTCATACCAACAAACATGGTAGCGTAAGGTGATGGTTTAGGATCTTCAGGGTTAGCTATGTTCACACCAATGGGTTTGGTTGTTGTAGTGTGGTCTAACAAAACAAATCATCATTATTGTTAAAGCCAAGACACACCACTTGCATCCAACTCTTTACGCTTTGTTCAACAGTCCCACTACTGTCCAACGAAGCTGTGAGATTGAGTATTCACTTGAGGACATGCACCGGAAATCCTGGCAGCATAAACACACATTTTCTGTACTTCTGAGACGAGCTGTCAAAAGGCCCAGGGCCAAAATGGCATTAGGGGTGAAGGTAACGCTTGGGAAAGGGTTTCAGTCTGAGTGGACCAGAGGTCCAACGGTCCGACAGCTGAAGTTTGGTCCAAACTGGGTCATGAATGTAGCAGCGATCCAAACACGCGTTCAAACTGCATGACAAAGGCTCATGATGAAACCCACACCGCTCTAACACCCAATGAGAAATATGGTTCTACAAGCTGTCTGCTTGTATCCCAGTCAGGAAGGATTTTACAAGGTTTGTTTAGCAAACCATCAAAAGTCAACCATGCAACTGGTACTTAAACTTAAAAAATGTATATCTTTGAGATTATTAATCCTGCTTGATCTACATCATCCGTCTGGACCTACACAAAGGCAGGACATGCTCAGGTAATCTGTGCTTTCTGCAGAACACAAAGCATCTGGATTAGGAATATCTCCAAAGCAGGATTACAAAGCAAAAGGCTCCATTTCTCACAGCAGGAGCAGAAACAGACAAAGAGCTGTGATGATCAGCAGCCGGCAGACAGGATCCCATCAGATCGTCCCTTTCCCTTCTTAATGCTTAATGTCTCAAGGTTTGACTTTTATTTAGCCTCATATTTGGTTTGTTGCATCAATATACTGACAAACAAGGTCAAAACAGGAAATTTAAGAAAACCTAATGAAGCTTAGAAAAGAAAAAACTGAGCTATTTCTACACAACTCATCAGGTCAAACAACTCAAACTATTCAGGTAAGAACGTAAAGGCGCTGGACATGCTAGGCTAGGGTACAGAAAAATGACCCAAATCACTTCCCTGAGAGCAATGGAAACTGGACAGGATGTTCAGGAACCACCAGCTTCATTTGGACCAGCCAAGACAGAAGAACCTAAAACCTGCTGCTGTCTGCGTGGACAAGCCAAACGTCCTCAACAGAAAAGCATCACGGTCAAAGATCAGACTGCTTCTGGGTTTAAGGCATCCAAACCAAAGAGCAGGAAGTGAACCTTCAAGCATGGCAGTGGCTGTATCATGCTTTGCAGCTGTTTGCACAAAGTGGATGGTTAAAGGACAAATACCTCCCAGTTTTTTGTCTTCACCTCTTCAGATCAGCAGCTACAGCAGATCCTTCGTCTAGTTGTGGTTTCCTAACTCCAAATGATTTTTCCGCAGAGTGTAT